CCATTCCCCCCTGCCCCCAATGTGCCCACCTCCACTCAGTTCCCCCAACCCCCTTTCTGGCCTTCACCACACTGTTGCCGTGTCCATGGGCTATGCATATATGTTCTTTGGCTAATCTCTCCACCTTCTTTCAAGCAGCCACCCCAAGCACCCCCCCGCCCCAGCACATCCCTCCCTTCTGCCATCTGTCAGTCTGTTCCATGTATCCATGCCTCTGATTCTATTTTGTTTGTAAGTTTATTTTGTTCATTAGATTCCACATACAAGTGAGATCATATGGTATTTGTCTTTCTCTGATTGGCTTATTTCATTTAATGTCATAGTCTCCAGGTCCATCCACGCCGTCGCAAAGGTAAGAGGTCCTTTTTCTCACAGCTGTGTAATATTCCACTGTATAACCATTTAAATAATTAAATTATCTTACCTTAACATATGCCAGTCAATCTACACAAATAAACTTCACCAATTCTATTCAAACTTCAAAAACTTAACTGGGCTAAAATTTATAATAAGAAATGTAGCCCTGGCCATTCTGGCTCAGTGGTTAGAGCATCCTCCCACCCCACCCCCCGCCCAAGGCTGGAAGGGTCCCAGGTTCGATTCACGGTCAAGGGCTGGTATCTGGGTTGCAGGTCCTCCTTGCCCTGGTCAGGGAGCGTAAGGGTGNTTGTGGGTTCGATCCCAGACCAAGACACATGCAGGAGGCAGCCTATCGATGCTTATCTCTCACATCGATGTTTCTCTCTCTCTCTCTCTCCCCCACCCCAAAAATCAATTTAAGTAAGTAAATAAATAAAAAAGGAAAGATATTTTCAGCCAAATAAACCCTAACCAAGGACCCATTTTCCAAGTAATCTCAAAAACCTGGATTATTTCTAAATAATGTTACTGAAACAATACACTGTTTTTAGAGAGGAATGAGCAGGAATTAGGAAATCTCTTCATGTGTAAAATATAACCTCATCTTATTTCCTTCTTAAGTGCAAATTTTGGAATTCTGTATTAATATGATTCTATGAAGTAAATTAACCATACTATGTAATGATAAAAGTTCTTTTTAGGCTGGGTTATAAGGAATGAAAAGCCACATAGCCTAGAATCACAATATTCTTAAAATAATTTACCAGAACCTATCAAAAGATTCAATAGCCCAAGTGGTATGACCAATTAAAATCTATGAGTCAAGGTAGTTGGAAGTGGTTGTGAGGCAGGAGGAGCTACAGCAAGTATAAATAATTACAAAGGTTATACTGGTCATATCTATGACAACAACTCAGAACAGAAAAGGTTATCAGGATAACTGATTCCTCACAGCCATGACTTACTCTGGCTTATTAAAATCATAAAGATCTGGCAAGAAACTTTAGACATTAAGTTAGGTGAAACGCTAGAAAGCTTAAATATACTGCTTTGTGTTGTTTTTTAAATCCTCACTTGAGGATATATTTGCTTTTTTTAAAATTAATTATAGAGAGAAAGGGG